TCACATCACTTCATCACACCTAATCGCACCAAACCAGGTCACACTACACTCCATATCACTCCACTCCATATCACTCCACTCCACATCACTCCACTCCACATCACTCCACTCCACATCACAACACCCCTCATCACAACACCCCTCATCACAGCACTCATCACCGCACTTCACCATATCACATCACACAACACCGTATCGCATCACATAATAGCACTACACATTACATCGTACGATAGAATATCACACCGCATACATTTCATCGCACCGTACCACACCACTCTACTTGGCCATTACCACTCACCGATCCTTCTCGCCGCTTCGCTTCTCACCGCGGCCTGGCACTTGGTCGCGCGCCAGCCTGGGTGCGGTCAAGCGCGGACAGTGGTGGCTGAGAATTGAGGTTGCCTGCCCTAACATAGGCATAACTGTACCTTTTCTCCATTTGCCTGGCGCAATACACTGAAGAATGATTTTGCTTTCTCGCGTACTCCGTATAGAGAACGTTACGCAGGAAAAATCTCGATATTTTGAAATAATGATACCTTTTGCGTAATTCTGAGCCCCAAAAAATGTGGCTTTTACTTCCACGCATTCATAGAAAGAAGAATGAAAAAACTGCAAAAACTCGAATTTTTGCAGCGTCGGGATATTGACGGAAGTACACGTTTTAAGGGACCTTGATTATTTCTTTCAAAATGATTTCTCTTCGTCCGTCTGCAACAACACTGACTTAAATATTATACGTTCGACATTCAGAATTCAAAAATTGATATTACGGCGATTTTATGGCTCAAATAGTCCAGTGTTCGCTTAAAAAGGCTCAGATTCCCTTTCTCGTAAAAGCTCTGCAATTAAGAAAATTGCAAAAGTTTAAAACTTTTCAAATCCTCATTAAGAGAAAGAAAGATGATGGTAATAGTAAGTATATTAATTTTAATATGAAGAACTGCACCGAACTGAGCATCCCTGTTCTGACGCCGACCAATCTGCGCAGATTTGCCTCAAAAGGCTTCGCAGGGCAATTGCGAAGACACCCCAATACATTGGCAAACAAATGTTGCCGTGATAACAACGGGAGCTTACGAGTGAGCGAATGTGGGCGAATTTTTTCGCGGAAGCTTCGGTTCGACAAGATGATGACGGTGATTGGACAATGTACTACACAGACGTTCGCGAGCAGATCAGCGGACGAAGCGACTTCGCAACTTCCTCCGCGGCGAAGACCACGTGATACTGGAGGAAGTACTTTATGCGCAAGTTTTCTTGATATTCTGCAGCGGGGGTGCAGGGAGAAGAGTGATCTGTCTACGTCACAGCTTAAAAGGGCGTACCAATTGTGGGCATGAACCTAAGCGTGACACGAGAAATGCTACGATTGTTTTGAAAGTACGAGGTGGTTGTTGCCAACATTGTAAAATGGTACGTGCCGTGCTATCCAGCGCTAAGTGAGGACTAGGGTGCTCGTGTATCAAGAAAACTTGCGCGAGTAATCGTCTTGTTTCCCTCGCTTTAAGTCAAAACTCCCCCGGAGCGATATATTCGGAGAAAGTGAACTCGTCCCTTTCGTGAGCCAATAGCTGTGCTCTCAAACTGCAGTCACGAATTCCCGGTGTTGTGTTGAGTAGGGACTGCAATAATCGCCTTAATTTTTAATTTTGAGAATCATTGCGCACTTATGGCAACCGTGATGTGTTCCATGAATTTTGTGGCCACAGGTTAAAAGTTCTCAAGTTGTATATTGGTTTAACATTGTAAACGCACGACCACGTAACAAATGTTGGATGTTCAGAATACAATTAAGACACTACTTTGACCAAATCCCATGATCTGAACGTTCTAAATTTATTACCGGTCGTGAATATACTATGGTTAATTTCAACAGGAACAAGAAGGCAAACTGGAATGTTTTAGTGTTTTAATAGTACTTTGACCAAATCCCATGATCTGAACATCCAACAAATGGGTTTGGTTAAGGACCTAAGATTTTTTTCCTGCGACCACAGAATTATTGACAGCCTTTACAGTCAGTGGGATTGCGTTTCAAAAATATATGAAATTGAGAAGATTGGTCAACCTCAGCCCTTCCATAATTCAGCAGTAAACACAAAGACAATAAGAGAGTGGATACTTAAGGATTTATTACTTACAACTACAATTAATATCCGTCGTTAAGCCTTCGTGATCCAGCAAATCCAGTAAAAATAATAAATGTAATAAATTGTATTGCTGGGCATGTTTACTTTCCTCACCTAACATAACCCTGGAAACATAAAAGATTTAACAATTTCAATTAAATTTTATCGGTCTGTGATAATCATACAAAATTCAGTCATACAGGATATTTTAGTACTTTACGAAAATTTGACTCTCAAAGGAAAAATAATTCTCTCAATTGACAGAGAAAAATTGCAGGGGCAATTTCATTTCCACGAATAGAACAACGAATGCTTAAAATAGTTTCACGGGTCTAATTTTCTTTGAGCTCTCAATTTTCGAGAATTGCAAAAATTAGAAATAATGTGAAGAAAGCTTGTTCTGTTTTAGCTCCACTAGTTCTTATCATTCTTCTTGGAGGCGCAGATCATTCAGTTTTTTCGCTAGATTACTAATGGTAGGTCTACCAAAAAGAAATGAAATTGTATTTTGTGTATCCGTGGACTACAAATCTAGCGTTATTACTAACCCCTCCTCATGGTAGAACCCAAGCCCGTGGTTCCAATC